ACAATATTCGGTCCTAACATACTCCTTTCACTCAACTATGTCCAGCAAAGAGGTGATTTGCATTTTCTCCCATACAATGCCTCATACGGTGCCATTTGTATACTGGAGTGGTAACTATTGTTGTAAGCAAATTTAGCCAAAGGAAGATGGCTATCCCAGCTACCTTTCAACTCCAACACACAGGCTCTCAGCATATCCTCTGAAGTCTATATAGTTCGTTCTATCTGCCCATCTATTTGTGAATGATTTGTTGTACTATTAGGCAAGAATCAAACTCTTCAAATTCCATAATTCAATTTCCTTTTAACTCATTTTCAGAGAAATTTATGTAGAATGAAAGGTAAGAGTTATACGCAGCTTACCTAGCAAGTTACCAATCCGAATCACCTTCCTCCGCTCTAAAATGACTTGACTTAGCTCCTCAGCCATTCTCCTCTCTCTGTTTCGTGTGTTTCTCAATTTCTCTCTTCTGAAATTTTTTGAAATTCACAACTTATGAATGTAAATTCTGGTCCATGCGCCACGGCACATGCAGCACAAGCCGCGGTGCGTGGCACAGTGAGACTTCTTCTCACCACACGCACTTGCTTCAACTCGAAATGCACTCCTATCACCCCTATTTGTTCATACAACACACAAACGAGTTAAAATATCAATTAGTCCTCTAAATCTCTAATCCCACTTTAATTTTCACTTCACCTTTGATTAACCTCTAAACTTAGGATTAAGAAATTCAAGATGTTACACATAGTATAATACAAGTGCTAACAATAAAATGTTATGTATTCCTAGTTGGTAACTCATATTCTCATATATTTAAGTTTATGTATATACAATTCAACATAAAATCGAACACTACAATTGTAATGTAGCAAATATGCTACCCCTTGCCGAATTTCTTTCCTTGGTCAAACTCAGCGGCAGAACTTGTAAAATAATAACCACGGGGTGGGATAAAAATCTCAATAACTAAGATAATCTACATTATCAATTAACATGCCAAGCTATAAACAAGATCTAAATCATACATAGTAAGCCCACAACATACAAATCACCACAATTACAATGCATGATCACTATCCATCTAATCCTCCAACACTCTTAAGTAAACTGGTAGGCTATTTCACAGAACCAAATCACATGTTTGGTCTCCAAGCTCATTATTCATAGTACAACTACCTAGCCAAGGCATTATAAACCCCTTCTAGACTGCAAGTTCTCCCTATTATGAGTAATTAGGGTGTCATTACTCTAACATTATATCCTATAGATATTATGGAGCATAGTCTCCAACTCCACACCCTTCTAGGTAGTCAACAGAATAACTCTCCAACACCATACCCTTTTCGAGCGCTAAAGAGAGATATAAGCTGCATCTAACATCTTGAGATACCAATAGTGCCATATGGACTTAACTCAACTAACTCCACTAAGGTGACCTCCCACCCTCTAACATATCATATTTCACTACATATATCCAGTTGATCTTGCATAACCACTTTCTAAAACAGTATAATAGATCTTACTACTTACTTTAAAAATATAAAATTTCACAAATCAATACTCCATATATTTTCTAAAATAATTAACTTTTAAAAAATTTGTTTATGTATATATAACCAATCGTACAAAAATAACTTATGAATAACTTATACAAGATAATAAATAATGTAAATTATATAGTTACCTTAACCCTTTTATTGCTAAAAGGGATACCCATAGTACTAAACCTTCTCTATCACTACTTTAATCTTTAGCAAGGTTCCACATACCTTAATCTACAACAATAAGTATCAGTACTATCTGTTAATTTTCAATTAACATATTTTACCCCAAATCTCCCACATCTCACTCCCATCCTCAACAAAAAAGCTAGCCATGGTTACAACTAGTTCACACCGTCTCCTCAAGCTTCTCTCTAACTCTATCACAACATATAACTTGATGTCTCAACTTGTCACACTTTACAAACCCTATAAATCAACTAAGGCTTGATCTAACTTATTCCAAACAACACCCAAGATTCATATTAATAATTATTTAGCTCAAAGAAACTCTAATTAAGCTGCAATCATCACATACAATCCTTAAGGTTTGAGTATAATCTTTCCCAACTTAAACCCAAAGCCTCCAAATCTTCCACCCCTTTAAAAATGTATTAAAGAAGGAGGAGAGGGAGTTAGCAAGCTTACCCAGATAATTGAGAACCTAAATCAACTTCCAATCTTGCCCAAATGGAAACCCTAGTTTAGCTACTCAAGATCCCTCTTTGTGCTCCCCACCCTCACAAATATCCCATCTGAAATTCCAAGCTAATTTACACACCTTTTATTTTCAAAATTGGGCATTACGCTGCGACATAATACATAGTGCGCCCAGTCTTACTTGTAACATGTTGTCTTTTCGGGTCCAACCCAACTTCGATCCTAACTTAACTTTAGAGCTATCTTGTAAAATCTCCCTCTACTAAAAACACATTTAACATTAGAACTCATGGTAATTAAAAAATTAATACATAAAATGGATTGCCAAGCTTTTGTCTAAATTCAAAGAATCCTAAGTTTTCTAAATAACAATGAGTTCAAAACAATCAAATCCTTTATATAAGAGTAAAAACAAGTTTTAGAAGCATGGGATACCTCAGAGAAGTGAAAGAATTCAAAGACGGCTGAAAAACAAAATATATGCTGTGATACAAGGCAATACGCCGTGGCTCGTGCACACTGCGCTGCGGTGTGTTGCTCTCTGTGCCACACGCTGCGGCTCAGGCACCATGTGCTGTTGCTTGTTGCACGAAAATTCAACTGATTTTGCTGTCATTTGACAATAGAGTTAGGGAACTTTTGACGTGCCCTGATTCTCCCTTCGATGTCCGAATGATGTGATCTAGGTGTCTATGGAAAGCTCTTTACATGAATTAACTAATGACATGAATTTCACTTTCAAAATAAGTCACATTAAAAAGTTAGACATTCAAACACATTTTAATCACTTTTCACAACTTTCACACAAAATAGGTATCTAAAGCCCTTAATATGTGCCAAAAGCCTTTCCTAACACCTGGACCATGTCCATTGAACCTAGAAGTACTAGTACAACATATTACAAGCACTAAAATAATAGTATAACAAAAATTCACTCCTCAACCCCATTTTATCAAAAATAGAGGGAGAGGTAAATTGTCAAAACAGATGGGGGAGGTAAATTGTCATTACTTTGCATCCAATTTAATCCAAACATGTTCAACTCATCATTTCTATACTTGCACTAGTATTTTGGCCCTATAAAAATTTATATCTCAACATACACAAATACTAAAGGTCCAAAATATAAATCTAACATTTGCAATAACAAAATAGTGCAAATGTGATGACATGCATCCTAGAATTGACAAACATACACTATTACACAAAATAAACTAAGTTAAAGGCATACAGTTCCTGAGTCTTCTCCCTCTCAGCACCAAAGTTAGAGCCTGAAAAGTGTTAAATGCAAAGGGTAAGTCTAACAACTCAGTAACCAAGGCAAAACTTACCCTATGGAATTATATATCAATTATAAGACAAGCACATGCATATAAAGCCAAGCACTTAAAACACACTCACACATATTACAACTCATCCTTTTTTTCACTAACAACATCATTGTCTCACATATACTAGGTACATTGTCACCATATACTTAGATATGTGACATGTCCCCTCAATTACATAATTTGTCACAACTCAACATGTGTGACACATCATATATTTACTTAAGTAATGATTAACTAACTTTATATCCTCCTTATTTTCTTAGACTAAAACCATGGCTATAACACTGAATAAGGTTCCGTCCGTGTGACTGAACTACCCAAGTTCACCATTCATGAGACGTGACCTGACCAAAAATCACATGACTCACTTTTAGACCATGACTTCCCCCATTTTTGAATATCTGAGGTGTCTCATACCCGAAACTAATAATAATCTATATTTTATAAATAAAGATTCAAAAAGATTTTATAAAATCTAAAATAAGCTGAATAATAATCCCTTTTATCATCATCATCTATATTTTATAAATAAAGATTCAAAAAGATTTTATAAAATCTAAAATAAGCTGAATAATAATCCCTTTTATCATCATCATCATCATCTTTGGTTATTTAACTTTTCATTTAAATTGGGATAAAATTAAAAGTTTATTATTCAAACGAAATTAACAACTTAACCATCCCTATATATTCCAATGAATTAATTAGAAATGCCTTATAGTAAGACCAACAGGAGTAACTTATTAATTTTAAGTAATATTTAATTTAATTATTAATCATGACAACAAATTAAAATGCATAATAATGTTAACAAATATATTCAATTTTAAGGGTAACAAAAATGGATGAAAGTTATTTTTTTAAAAAAATTTAATACTGATTAAAGAATAATAGATTTTTTCGGTCACAGCTCATGTTCCAATGTGGAAGAAATATCTCATATAATGTTCCCAAAAAAAATATCTGACAAAAGACAAGATAAAAATCTCTTCTAATCTAAGAAATTTTGAATATTATATATGAAATTAAAATGAAATTGTATTAATCCAATTATCTGTTTATACTCATTTTTAAGAAATTTTGAACAAAAATTATATACAAATAAAAATTAAAGAATATTATATATAAGAATACAGAGGCGAGTCTAATATGAGATTTGTTATGCTCATCGTCATTACTTGAATACTGGTTCATATCAGCCAAGCATTAAACAAAATAACACAAGAAATCACTCGCCGATGTTACATCTTTAAACACAACCGAAACCAAGAGTATTGTAAAATTTAAAAAATCAGGTCATATACAAATATGTTATGCACTGCAAATATATAGTTTATGACACATCGATTGTTTTAAGTTTTATAACCTAGTCTAAACCAACCATATTGATTCTGCTACCCAAAAATTTAAGCAACTTCAAAAATTAAAAGTATGTAAAATACAATCAAGAATTTACACTGAAACAAAAGAAAGACTGTGTTTAATCCCCATTAAAAAAAAAAAAGAGAAAGAAAGACATGATTTATTTCATACTATTGATGAAGTTACCCAAAAGAATCTTTTTTTTTTTTTAACAGAAAAGTTACCCAAAAGAATCACATAAGAAACTGAAGTGAAAAATATAGATTTCTAATATTAATGGGAATAATAAAAAATCCCCAAAGAAGCTTTATGCAGCCGTGCCTGTTCTGGAGTTTCAATCTTGTCCGCATCACTGCAAATCATGTCAAACCCATCCTGCAGGCAGAAATTGATGCAAGATGTCACAATCTTGTAATTATTAGATATAAGAGTAATAATAATACCATGTGCCGAAAACATAAAACGTTGACATGTATGACGCAGCATCATAAAAAGGAAACATGTGAAAACCATGAAACTGAACCATGACAACTATTTTCTGGACACCCAGAAATTACAAAAGGTAATGAAGATGGATCTGATTTCTGTAAGGATAAATATGATATTACCTGAGTTCAACGTATTTGCACTTCATGATGCCAGCAGGACCAGCCCTAAAATCATATAACATGCTTCTTTTGTGCGGTGTTGCAGGTAATCTTAAAAAGGAAAATTAAAGAAAATACAAAATTAAGTTCAACGACACGCGTAGAGCCAAACGATGCCAAGACATCCCATTCAATTCAAACAAAATGATCCTCACCAAAAATTGTAGAAATCACATTGTGACCTCCAGGAGCTTGGCGCCCTGACAATACCACACCAATTTCCAACTTCTTATTTGGTAGCACCGTATCAGAATGATCAGGAACCAACATTAATAGGCAACATTCATTTTATTTTATTGAATAAATTTACAGTGGGGAGGATCATTGAAACTGAACTCCATGGATTACCAGAACCTAATTGATTGAGATGAAATAAAAAAGAAGACTAAAATGAAACAGATGCAACTAAAGCTGCTCACTTGCACTTTCTTGAAAAAAAATAATAATAATAAAAAGGTTGATCAATCTCTATGCTTAGAATCATTTGGAAACTTGAAATTTGAAACGCAAGCAACACATTAGGAATGAGCCAACAATGTGATCCAATGGACATAATTAACATGAATCATGCATAATCTTCAATAAATAAGCTATCAACTTATCCTATTCGCTTAACAGCTTTAGGCTTTAGCTTTTCAAAACGATCATAGACAATAGATGACAATGTCAACCAAAATGATTTGAAATCACTTACTTTTCCACAAACTCTACTTAAAACTACCGAAAGATATTCTTCTTAGGTAAAGTATGTATTCTCTAACAGCATTGATCTGGCCAAGTTTGGAAGGGTGGGATACAGCCAGTGAGCTAAAAAGCGATACAAGTTACACGCCTGAAAGTTAATATTGAACCAAGTGAAGACATGAAAATGTTGGGGAAATGTCACTTGGAATAAATTTTAAGACCAAACGCAGAGAAGTAAGGAAAACCTTCCTTGGATTGTTGATGATGCATTCTTCAAGCTGCAAACATGAACGTTCGTCTTCACATGCCACTAGTACAATTCCTTTATCAGTACCTTCGCCTTCAATCAAAACCTCTTCCAATGACAAACCTTGATTTTGTCTTTCTTCTTCTATCTCCTCAAGAACCTCCTGATATGACATGGGCAAATCAAATTCAACTCAAACAATCAGAAGCTTACCATAAACAACAGCTGTCTACAAAAAACTTCATCAATTCAAGCCATCCAAATTCTCAAAAAAATATATAGGGAAGAGGAAGAAGAAAATTGAAGTGATGCCACAAATTCATGGCTAACTTCTGTACCAGATAGAATCAAATGAGCACGTGCCTGTATACTACTGTATCATAGAGAAGTATTTTCATATAATTTAAACTTTTTGTTTTTGTAAACACAAAGCTTGTCCTTCAACCTTCAAGCAGAACTTTATAATTGGTTGAACGATTTGGAGCTAACAAGGATGCTATTAAGGCAATGTTTCATTCATGCTATTGCCTGGTTTGCACAAAATGCACACATTTTCAATAGGATCTCTCCGTCCTTACGTCATGGGATATCGTTCTATTTATGGCCTATAATTGGGAAATTTAACAGGGTTTTTAAGAAAGCTTCCCAACCAACATGAGAAGAGAATAGAAAGCTCTACTGGAAATTCCCCCCCCCCCCCAAATTCCCTTCCTATAAGGACAAGTTATTCTTGTTCTCCTCCTTCACCATATTCTTCCTCTTGTACACTAATAAAATTTCTTGTTTCATTAAAAAATAAATCATAACATTGAGATCTGTAGAATAGGGACTCACTGACTTGCACGCAAGACTTTCCACTTTGGTGCTTCTTCCAAAACTTCCTCCAAAATTAACCCAGTATTTGAACTCTTTGAGGAACTACCATCAACTGCAATTACAAACATAAGCTTAAAAGAATGGCATCCAAAACGTATAGGAGTGCACGTGATGTCTTTTCCTCCTTTTTTCATGTTAATTTTTCTTCAACCTAACTGATTAATTAAATCATGTAACAGAATCAGCGTTTATGCCAGATTGATCTATAAAAACATTATAAGTTCTCAAATTCTATTCTGTCATTGCCATCCCCCTTGCATTTTCTCTTTTTGCTTTTCACAATCTTATTTGACTCATTTAATTTCACACCATTTGACTTCGCCAGGCGGTAAACAAGTTTTTTTGCTTAGTCAAATATCTTATAGCTCCCCTCTGCAAATATCCAAACTGATCGAAAACTTTCTGACACTCTCAATGTGTCCAAATACCTCAAGAAAGATACTGCATCATATCTATACAGAGAAAGTGAGAAGAAATATGGAAAATGCTACTTTAGAGGAAAATGATAGTAGCTGTGTTACTTTTCAATTACTTTTGTTTGGCAATTTCCTTTTCAGCAATTAGGAATATCTTACAATTTTGTTTTTAGCAAGTGGATAGAGGTTTCCTCATGAAGAAGCAAACCTCATGCCCATAAAAAGGATGCTGAAATGTATTTGAGGGAGATTTTGAGAATGAATTCATTTGAGATATTCTAAAAACTCTCTCCCTCCAATCCACGTCCTCCCCCTCTCAGTTCCTCCTCCCTCTTTGTTCTATGCTTCCTCCTATCATCTCTCTCTCTCTCTCTGTATTGTCTCTCCCTCCCTCCCTATTCTCATTCTCTCACTCTATTTCTGCTGTATCTCCATTGTCCAATTCTGTTCAAATCAGTTTTGAGTGTGCGTGTGTGTGTGTTTTATATCAACTTGATATCAGAGCAAGGATCTGAACGCTCTTAGATATTTTACATCAACTTAATATCAGAACAAGGCTAAAAATGCTCCTAGATTGTTCCCGTTGCCGGAGATCGAAGATAACTCACTAGGAAGCCCAACATACTCTGTTTCACGCTGCCAAAGCCCAAAGCCACACTTCCCGACGTCAAATCCCAAAACAAACGCCACCATCATGCTCAGGAGAGGAAATCCGGTCAGAACCAGAAAACCCATCTCCATTCGCCGCCGCACGTGTCGTCACAAATTAAAGGAGACACCTGCGCGTGGTCTTCACACACCTCACATTCCGTCGCACGCGCCATTCGTACAGTGTTGCCTAGAGCCTGACTTTTAGCATTTTTCTTGAGTTTTTTATGGAATTTCTTCAACCCTAAAGAAGCTGAGAGACACACGTCATCATCTAAAACTTTGTTGGGGGTAAAATTTCATGTTTTAGGCTCCCAAAACAACGCTGGTAAGGCCGATGATCCTCTCATTTAACTAGCCAATTTGGTTATTAAAAGGAAGTACTCTATTCATAGCTTGATTCGAAATCTTTGTTGTTTGGTACTTAAGTTTCTTTGAACATTGCAATTTTAATTTTAAATCGTTTTTAGTTTAGCATTCTGATTAAAAAATTTAATTATTACATTGATCATTATCTTGTTAATTTGTCACTTTTGACAGCAGTGCTCATATAACTTAGGACACTTATCTCACACACAATTCAGCCCATACCCGAGTCAAAGAAATTACCCTAGGTTAGTAGAAGTTTCTAACAGTTTTCCTGTGAGGTTTTTGAACCTTCGGAGATTACTATGAAGACTTCACTCGAATTATTACCTATTTAATATACGATCCTTGTGACATTTTTGAATTCTCAGAAGATTAGTATTGTTAAAAAAGGACTTCGCCTATCCAAGTAAGCGCAACAACAACAATAACAACAACAACAAGCCTTTATCCCACTAGGTGGGGTCGGCTACATGGATTGCAAGACGCCATTGTGCTCTATCATTTATTAAGCTTTTAGAAATATTATTAATTAAGAGATCACGTTCAACAACTTCCAAGAGTGTTCTCTTAGGCCTTCCTCTACCTCTCTTAATCGGACTCAAAGTTATATGTTCCACTCTTCTTACTGGTGCCTCCCTTAGTCTTCTTTGTACATGCCCAAACCACTCAACCGATTTTCTACCATTTTTTCCTCAATAGGTGCCACCCTCACTTTTTCACGTATGTGCTCATTTCGAATTTTATCTTTACGTGTATGTCCGCACATCCATCGTAACATTCTCATCTCTGCTACTCCAACTTTATGCTCTTGCTGTCCCGTTAGAGCCTAGCATTCACTACTATATAACATTGCCGGTCTGATAGCAGTACGATAAAACTTTCCTTTAAGTTTATTAGGCACCTTACGGTCACAAATAACTCCTTTAGCTTTTCTCCAATTAAACCACCCAGCTTGAATTCTATGTGAAATATCTCCACTGATTTCGCCATCATTTTGAATAATGGCTCCCAAATATCTAAACTTTTCCATTTGAGGTATAATTTGATCTCCCAATTTCACTTCCAAATTATTTTCGAATAGTCCTTTATCAAATTTACAATATAAATATTCCGTCTTACTTCTACTCAGACGAAAACCTTTCGACTCCAATGTCCTCCTCCATAACTCAAGTTTGCAATTAACCTCTTCTCTTGTCTCTGCTATAAGAACTATATCATCCGCGAAGAGCATACATTTCGGGATTTCCTCTTGAATATGTTCCGTCAAAACATTTAAAATCAAGTTGAACAAATAAGGACTCAGAGATGATCCCTGATGTAGTCCAATCTTTATAGGAAAATCCTTTGTTTGACCACTTGGCGTTCTTATACTAGTTTTTACCCCCTTATACATATCTTGTATGGCTTTAATATAAGCAATCCGTACTCCCTTTTTTTCCAACGCTTTCCAAAGCACTTCTCTTGGTATACGGTCATAAGCTTTTTCCAAATCAATAAAAACCATGTGTAGATCTTTATCTTTACAACGATACTTTTCCATTAATCCCCTTAGTAGATAAATCGCCTCTGTAGTTGATCTACCTGGCATAAAACCAAATTGATTCTCAGAAATACTTGTCTCCAATCTCAACCTGTGCTCAATTACTTTCTCCCACAATTTCATTATGTGGCTCATGAGTTTAATCCCTCTATAGTTAGTACAATTCTGAATATCTCCTTTATTTTTATAAATAGGAATTAATGTACTTCTCCTCCACTCATCAGGCATTTTCTTGGACCGTAAAATCACATTAAATAACTTAGTTAACCATCTCACTCCTTCTTCACCTAAACATTTCCACGCTTCGATAGATATACAATCAGGTCCGTTAGCTCTACCATTTGCCATTTTCTTAAGAGCTTCCTTTACCTCCTTATCACGTATTTTTTGATAGAATGACAAATTTTGTTCTCCTTCACCAGTTACTAAATCCTCCAAGTTACTAGATGAATCCTCTCCATCATTGAAAAGTTTAGAAAAATAAGTCTCCCATCTATTTTTAATTTCATCATCTGTAACTAAAATTCTTCCCTCTTCATCCTTAATACACCTTACCTGTTCTAGATCTCTTGATTTTCTTTCCCTACTCTTGGCAATCTTATAAATATTTTGCTCTCCTTCCTTCGTCTCAAGGTTCTTATAAAATTCTTCAAAAGCTTTAGAACGAGCTTCACCCACAGCTCTCTTAGTTTCCTTCTTAGCCATACGGTACTTCTCCCAATTTTCCTCATTGTTACACAAATGTATGGCTTTAAAACAGTTCTTCTTATACTTGATTTTGTCCTGTACACTATTATTCCACCACCAAGACTCCTTATCTCTCGGACCAAAACTACTTTCGATTCTCCTAAGTGAGGGCAACTTAGGGGCTTTTTTTCCTCACATTACTAAATCCACCCCAAACTTACACTTTACTATACCACTTTTGTTATCGCATGCCCATTCGTGATTTATACGATAAGCAAGCTTTATTAGACCAAGAAATTGTTGGATACGAGGGCGCAGCAGAAGATTAAAAATTTTAAAGTTCCTATCCTGATATGGACTGAATGAACTCGTTTAAGTCAAGGTGGATTTGAGTTACCTTTTGACTCTTTGAAGTTAGCGCGTTTTCTTCAAGAATTTGGATCTTAGGAGCTAACAACATAAATCTGCTCCCTCTACTAGTATCCACATGAATAGCTCTCTAGCTCGAACAGCATGCTAGCACTCTCAACATCCGTTCTTCTTTGAACGTTAATTTTCCTTTCTATAAGGTGTTTCGTGACTCTCAAAATGTTTTTGCCATCAAAACTTTTCTAACTCTCATCCTTC